GTGTGTATGTGTATACATGGTAGCAGCCATCTTGCAGTTTGACATGGCAAGTTGGCAACTCGGTTTTGAAAGGGAACCTTTCTTATGTCTAAATATTGACAGACACCAAAACAGAAGTCGGTACCTCACTTATTCTTCAAGGTATCATTCTCACAACATGCACAGACAGATGGACTGAAAGAGGGTTTTTCCAATTCTCTCTTTCTATTTTGGCTCAGCAGCAAGGGACAAAAACATAACATATTTGAAGTGGTGGAGACCAGGCTACAGAAAATTAAAAGCACATTTTATTTTAAATTCAACGTTATGTCGATGTGCTTTCCCCCATCACTTATTACATCATCAGTGTGGTTTATAAACCTGGATATTTGGACCTGTAGTGAACTAGACCTCCGACATCAATCTGTCTCTGAAGACCTTCAGGGGACAGGAACTGTTATTTCATTGATTTGAATCCAGAAATACAAATTATCTCATCAAGAGACTATTTAATTGTATCCTGAATAATCAATTGAAAGAACACTCTTCTTTTTATATTATCATTACTATTTTATAATATCTTGATAATCAAAAGTGTGTTTATTTCATACCATTTCTAATGCTGAAGTGAACCACTCATTTAAATCAACTGTGAAACAGTATTAATGATTTTTAAACCTCATTAGACTTCATCAATCATACAAGTTAAATGTCTATTTATGAAGTAAGTGTGCATTTTAGTCTTCTGTCTGAATGAGGAGTAGTGGATTTGAGGTCGAAAGTCAGAGAAAAGTTATGAGAACAAAGTGCCTTGTTTTTAAAACTCTCAGACAGTAAATAAGAACTGGCTGGCACCTGTTGTCTCTCACTTCTTCAAAATATTTTCCTGTCTGTACTAACCGTTCTTAAAAACATTTCTGCTGTCTGCTGACTCCTAATAACCCTCTGACATCACTAAAACTACACCCCTGCTGGTTGTTTCAACCAATCAGGAAGTACCAAGTGACAGGAAGTGGATACCCTTTAAAAATCAACACTTCTTGGAACTATTCAGTCTTCCGAGTCTTTCCAGTCTTCCTGGAACTTTCAGTTGTAGTGGACTAAGCCTACGTCGAAACCCAGTCTAAGGTCAAAACTCTTGACCTTAAGAACCTTGTGGGACAGGAACTGTCATTTCATGTATTTGAATACATAGATACAGGTTCACCCATCCTGAGACTTTCTTTCTTGAAGATTCAAGTGAAAAGAACACTCTCTTTTTATTATCATTACTATCTTACAAATGTTGATAATCAAAGTGTCTTAGTTCAAACCATTTTAGATGTTGCAGTGAACTAATCAATTTTATTAACTGAGTAATGATTTTTATTCTCATGTTAAAAGCTGTGCAGAGTTTATGCATTTTTCTGATTTCTGCTTTTGAATGAGCAAGTGTGTGCGTTTACAAGGTTACAGTCAAACGAAAAACAAGTTGTTATGTTAAAACTGTCATGTTTTAGAATCCTCTCAGACGTAAATAGAGATGTTTTGCACCTGTGTCTTAGGCACGCCAAAACAGAACCCTCTCGGTCTGTGAGAACATTTCTGAGCTGTCTCATAACAATTCTCGCTGTCTCTAACCCCTTACGTCACAAAAACACACCCCTTCTGGTCGTTTCTGACCAATGAAAAATCCCAAAAAGTGAACCGGGAAAGAGCCTTTAAAATGTCAGTACTTCCTGGTTTACACAGACTCACGGAGTTACAGAGTTGGAGAGTTGTCAGACTTCAAGAGTTCTGTGGGAGTTCTGTAAACTACACGAGAGCTAAAGTTCTGATGGAGTGCTGTTGGAGTTCCTGACATGACAACGAAGCTCTTCCGAGTTCCATGGGATTATAACATTTTCCACTGAGGTGAATGTGTGTCGAACAGAGCCTCGCCACTACTTCTGACGGGCAACAGCCATTCTAAGGAGACGCTGCACCGGTAGCGTTAACGGAACACCATATCTGCTGATTATCATCAGAGAGGTAATGGGTCAAGTTTCCTACCAAGCGTACCGAGGCGAGCTGGGCTTCTGATGGAGAGTGTCGGTTCTGGTAACATTCAATTTCCCTCAAACCCCATCCTTTACTCCCTCTAAACTTCTTTCCATCTTTAAACTTTCCTATGAAGTAGAAATTCTCCCAGATATTTAGAAATGTCTGTGTAAAGTGCTTATTCACATCCGTGTGGGTAAAAGATCATAGTTGTACAGTTTTATAAATGTCTGTGGTGCAGCAACGGTAAAATCATGGCCGTATGATTTTTCCTGATTGATTGCTTATGTTGTTATTTTCATAATTTGCCAAATTAATGTAAATGTTTGATGTTAAATTTGATTCTGTAAATAAATGACCGCATTCATTTTGATGGGTCAAATTTAAATGACGTCTCACGTTTGCATTTCCTTAAATTCAATGCACGTTTTATTCAGTCCAGAAAAATGAGGAATCCGCGTTAAATGATGAATACATCCCAGCATCTGTTCATCTACACAGTCGAAGATGAGACTCAGTCTGATGGCGAGTCATACAGGAACTTTCAGTTCTTACTGAAAGTCAACTAAGTAGCTGATGGATTTGAACATGTGCCAAGGGTCCGTCCATTCCAGCAGAGTCCCAGCTGTCTCACTGTGACTCACCCCGAGCATTAAATGCTCTCAACTTCGAAGGAAGCTTATTCTGTTGATCGGAGCATATTGAACTACTTCTAAAGATTCTCAGCCACCCTGACCGGAGATGCTGATAAGGTAGTGTGCCAATGGACCTCTGTTTCGGAGCTGATGTATCCTCTGCCAAGGTAACAAGTCGTTGCACGCCCTGAGTGTACCGCGGGCTGAGATAGTGTTGGAGGAAGGGTGCCATTTTCTGGTCAACACATGTTCCTTCATCCATCTAAACCTCCTCTTTAAATCTTTAAACATCTTTACTCCTTCTCTTTAAACTTAAATTTGCCAGTAAATCAAGCTAGGTGCCTTCAGAGATGAATCATTCTCCATCAGTAATCTTCTGTTGTCTTGTTTAGTAAATCTTGCTAAGTTTATTACTCAGAAACAGATCAGCCAATCAATGTGTACATGTTTGATGTTAAATTTTGATTCTGTTAAATAAATGGCCACATTTATTCTGATGGGTCAAAGATAAAATGGCATCTCATGTCACTAATTATACACTCCACTCCACAAGTTATCTTGGTCACATGGCAGAAATTTAACTCGAAAAAGAAAGAATCCGTTGTAATTAAACAATTAATATTCTTTGTGCTTGAACTAGCTTTAAGAATAAATAATTAAGTAGTGTAGCAACAGTTAAGCTGTCCCTGTCTCACTACAGGCCTGTATCCTCATGTGTGTTCTGTCATTTTGGTGCTCAGGTGTTAAAATACAGCTTTAGTACCCAATGATTTATGGATGAGAGAAGAGTTTAAAATGTGTTTGAGACCCCTGCAACAACTCTAAGTATCTTACAATGCCTCTTGGACTTATGTCAGGACATTTTGAGACATTTGTGAAACTCTTGGGAATGTCTTCTACCTACACACAAGTGACCAATTGTTGCTGTTCAGTGTGAAACTGGCTTGAGCTCCAGTACATACAGTCCAGGTTTATCTTTTTATACTGTTTTTACTTTTGCTTTAGGAAGCAAACCCACATTTTGTTGTACTTTGGTGCAATGACAATAAAGGTATTCTACATACAAATCATAGTCCATGACGGAAATGTGCAGGCTGACATGGTCCATGCTGTCTGGAGGGATGTCAAAGATGATGGCCTCATTGTAGGTAGGGTTCAGGGTGTTCTTTTTGATGCTCGTCTTCTTCTTTTTTAAACGTCTACCATCACAGATGAGCGATACTTTAACATAGGGATCTAATGGAGAGGAAGATCAAAGACACAAACAACAGAATGTCAAATTTAACTTGAGAAGTGTCATTTCCTGCAGAAATGTGGTGTGAATGCTTATTGCTGAAAGCTGCTGAAGAAACTGAAACTAGGCTGAAAAGGTTTCATCGTTAAACTGTTAATGGTATGTTACTTTGAACAGTTGACATTTGCGGAAAGCAGCAAAATAAAAGCGGAAAGCAGTAGAAAGAAGAAATTCATTCAACTTTTATTTATACAGGTTAATCCCATTGAGCCTCGGGGACTTCTTTATGTATTTTTTTTTTTTTTTTTGCTGATGGGGACTTGTTTATATTTTAACAAAAAGTGATGTATGAAAAAGGCTGAATGAAGCAGAAATGTAGCAGAAATTAGCATAACAAGCTGGAGTAGGCAGAGAGGCCGTATAGATTATAAAAAAAAATCTAAAATTGGCATAATGAAACAAATGAGCAGAAAAGTAGCTGGAAAAAAGATAAAAGAAAAAAATGAAATTAGCAGAAAAGGTTGAAATAAGCTGAAAAAGTTGAATTATTTAAAAGAATCACAAAAGGTAGAAAGTAGTTTAAAAACAAACTAAAAAGTAGCTGAAAAATGTGAAAATAAATGAATCTAGCAGAAAGAAGTTTAAAGGAGTGTGTCAGATATTATTGATTGATCTGATACATTACAGTATGTACAGTATTATACAATATTATTTTACTTCACTTCATAATTCCTTATTTAACACTGTGTTGTTATCTGAGTAGTATCTAAAAAGTTAAATCTGGTCCTCTGGACATTCAAAAAAACCCAAAACAAAGCAAAACAACAAAAAATGTAGAAAAGTTTTGTCTCTCGTCCGAGAGACTTCTTCAGTCTGAGGTGCTGTTTTCAGCTCAGTCTCTTAAATAGCACTGTCTCAGAGTGGATCAACCAGTTTTGCTGCTGACAACCAAAACCAGCTGATCACATGCTCAAGAAGGACCATCAACCTAACAATGGATCATTAGCACACTGATGGCTGTGTACTATTCACAGAGGGCTGAGTGATACTAGCAATCACAGCATTGTAAGAGGGGGACAATTGAACACGTAGGCCTCCACCCCTGTTTAATGATGGACGGTTTCTTTTCACAAAGATGGCCTCCTTTACTCCTCTCTCAAACCATAGTTCCTCTCTATCCAGGATGTGCACATCTTCATCCCTGAAAGAGTGACAGCTGGCCTGGAGATGAGTGTAGACCGCAGAGTCCTGGCCTGATGATGTTGATCTTCTGTGCTGGGCCATCCTTTTGGCCAGTGGCTGTTTTGTTTCCCCGATGTAAGACTGATCACAGCCCTCCTGACACTGAACAGCATACACAACATTACTCTGTTTGTGCCGGGGGACTGGATCTTTGGGATGAACCAGTCTTTGCCGTAATGTATTTTGGGGTTTAAAAGCCACTGGGACGTTATGTGTAGAAAATAAACGTCTCAGTTTCTCTGATACTCCCTCAACATATGGAATGACCACTGGTCTGGGTTCCTCCTGTTGAGGGAGTATCTGAAAGAAGTGAAAAAAAGCTCAAGTATTATTTTCCAAGATAGCCGCGCTCAGCCAAGCTACAGCTTCACAGGCTCTCGGTGAACTTGATCATTTTTTTGTTCCTGCTGTTTTTGTTTTAACTTATTTTTTGGACATCCACAGTATGGGTATGATCGCGACACACTTGTGGAGTTTTCTGTCTCGCCATTCTGCCATCGTGGTTCAGGTCTTCCAGCCTCAGGCTCAGGCCTGTCATGGCGGCTGTCCCCATGATCCTCCATCTGCCTGCATGGACCAAACTCTATGGACCCGTTCAGTTCCGTGGGGAAACCTTGGATGTTCTCTGTCTGCTTGACCCAGTTCTGGAGGACAGTCTGTGAGGCAGCTGCTGCGGTCATTGTTACCATCAAGATTCTGATGGAACCTGCTAACTAGACCACCCCACTAACCAAACCTCACTGCTAGCAATATCATGCTGCTAACGGGACCATGTTGCTAAGATAACCTCACTGTCATCAGAACCACTATGCCAATAGAACCATGTTGCTGCAGATTTATTTATTTTTCACTTTTGGCTCCTTGTTTCTGTATTTTTGTTGAATGCTTTGAATAAATCCCAGTTTATGTTAGTTTTGGGCTCCGAGCCTGACTCCGCTCACATTAAGCATGTAAATTATAGCTGAACAGAACCTATGAGAATCATGCTGCAGTTGTTCGGTGTATTATTTTGCACTATTAGTGACTAGATCTTAGATCTTTTAGCATATCGTTGGGCGTTCCTTTAGCATATATCGTTAGTTGATATCTGAGATCTCTATTTACAGTTTATTTTTACATTTTATACTGTTGCTATCGTTGGATGTAACTGGGGACCCTGTGTACACAATTTCGTTCCACTTAATGTATCACATGTGTAGAGGAATATGGGGTTGGATTTATATTGTAAATTATCAGTTATGAGTTAAGCTCATACGATATGCATTTATTATGCAAATAACCTCGTTGTGGGCACCACCTCTTTTTTTAGAGGAAAAATCAGTCTCTAATTCCCAAATTAAATGTAAACTGAAACGTGAATTCTTTTCTCGTGTTTAAAGGGCATCAAATCAGTTAATACACACAGATATGCCAAAATAATCACAAATTTAGTTGATTTTATGTATTTTATTACAAAAATAATAATCTGTGATATATATGTTGAAGATTATGCATAACAAACAAATTAATAACAAAATAGCTTTGCATCAAAGGTCTAGTTGGTTATTCAAATCAGTGAAACTTAAAAAAAGGCAGATTTTGGACTAGTTCTGTTTGTAGAGTAGTTGAAATTGTCTAAATGTGCTGTGGTGTGTATAAAGCAATATTATTGTGATGTATGATCACCAGAAAGGCGTTAAAGGTCTTTTGTCCTACCAGAATGAGATGGTCAGAATGCTCCAACAGATGCTTAAAAATGGTACCAGTCCAGATGTTCTGGTGACTGAGAGGCTGATTTTTCCTCAAAGTTCACCTGTCATCTTAGAGGGACGAGGGTCCATATGGGAGTCAGCTGGGATTTTTCCACTCTGCGGTGCGATGGCTCTGGTTCGGGCAGGTTCTCTCGTCCTGAGATGTTTGCAGAAAAGGCTGCTTCTCTTGTTCTCTTCCTCCCTAGGATATCTCACTAGGAGGAAGTTTTTCTCTGAAGTTTGCTCGAAGTTCAGTGCTTGAAGAAGAAGTGGTGAAGAAGAATGTGATGTAGAAGAAGTTGTAGAAGTAGAAGTGAAACTTAACTGTCTGTGTGTTACAGATTGACTTTGGTCCACCTCTCGGAAGAGGGGTGGTCCTAACTCTTTGTCATGTTCGATCAAATCGAATGTCCATTTTCTCTGTCCGCCTTTAAGTCACTCTTTTTAAAAGAGAAAAAAACATAAGACAAGTGATTATCTTAAAGAGAGATTACTTAAACAGACATTTTCATAAACAAACATTCAGTTCTGAAGCTTTTGAAATAACATGAAATGTTCATCAAAAGGTGTCGCTGTTCATCTCCTGAAAAGAAAATGTCATTTTAAACAAAGGGTTCTTTAAAATGTGTTATCTCAATGGGAACCCATCCTGGGAGTAATACTCCTTTTTTTTTTATAAAAGTTCATCTCAGCAGATGTTTCACTTCGAGGTCAGTTGAACCAAACTCATTAAACGACCTGTCCGTTTCATGGGAAATGGGTTCATATTGAAAGTGGTTAACGTTTTTTTTTCTATACATTCACATTCGTGTCAACTAAGAAGTTTGTGAGCTGAGTTGAACACCTGTAAAACAAAGTCTGTTTGTTCCCAAGGGAATAGATGCATCTTATTTTAAACATTTTAAAACACAAAACACATGAATTATGTTTGTTTAAGCTGAGGTGAACTGTTTCTGAGGTTGTGTTCTGTTTCTGAGGTGGTGTTCCCCTACACATGGTTTGCAAATGACAAATAAAAAACCTTGAACCCATGAATCCTTGAAAAGCTGAAATGAGCAGTAAAAGGATGTAAAAAGCACAAAGACAGAAAAACAAGGCTGAAAAAGCTCAATATTTCAAAAAGTTAAAATTGTACAAACGCCAAAAGTCACAGCATGAATGTCCTGAATGATCTGAACGTTTTGATACATGAATATTTGAGCTACCACAATAACTGTGGAATATGTTATATGCCGAAGCCATACAGGGAAAAAAAAAAAAAGGATCTCAGTGTGAATGCTTTATAAACAATCACAAAATAAAAATCTTCTTGTTAGAGCTTCGGTGTTTTATTTTAGCAAAAAAAAAAAGTGTTTTCTCTTTCATGTTTGATGTTTTTTAAAGCCGGAGAACCTGGCATCGGTAATGTGTATGAAAGTGAGTCATTGCCTTGCATAAACAAAGAGGATGGGAGGCCAAATATAGCTGCTAAATAGCATGAATGAGAAAAGATTCCTGTATGCTGATTTCAGTCTTTATTTGTCTAAGATTAATCACTGTGTACAATCCATTATCCAAAGCTTAAGTTAGATGTAAGCTGCGCTAAATCTTTTAAGAACCCGATATGGTTGAAGGCACAACACGATAGATTTAGGTTTAAATGCTCAGACTGAAATAATGGCAGACAGCTAAAGCCCTGAAAACTCAGGGCTCAGATTGTGTCACGTCAAGTTTGTGAAATGTCATTAGCTGTGGAAGGAAAGGCAAAAATAAAAAACACATTCATTCTAAGTTACACCTGAACCTTGGCATTTTATGTGCCATAAATGCCACATTTTACAAGTGATATCCCAATTTTAGGACCAGGATTTAATAGAAAGTAGAGTGGTAGTCCAATAAAACAACAGACCACCCAAGACTATTTGCTGACAAAGTTTTAATTTCAGAAGTGCAAGACGTAATAATATCTGCTGAAATAAACATAATTCAACCTCACAGAGTCATTTCATTTAGGTTGTTTTCTATGACGTATCTGAATGGATATTCCAAAGGTCATTCATTTTGATTCACTGCAAAGGAGTCATAAACAAACAAACAAACATATAAAAAATCCACAAACCCACCTGAGTATCCAGTGATGTCCATGGCCTTGAGGTTCCTGCACTTAATGACAGTGAGTGTGAGTCGGCCTGCGGTGGGCAAGTAGCAGAGAGAGAACATGATCTCCCCAAGGTCAACACTTTCCTGATTGAGCACAAACAGAAAGAAAATAATATGTAGTGTGCGTTTTGTTTGAAATAAACAATAACAATCTAAAAAAATTTTCATTCAACCTTTATTTATTTTTGGGTGTAATCATTGATGAACAGCTAACATGGAAAAATCACATAAATTCTTTATGAACAAAAATATCTAAATCTATTGCAGTACTATACAAAGTCAGGGAATTATTAAATGATAAAGCTCTGTACATGTTGTATAACACAATCATTGTTCCACATTTAATCTATTGCATTGATGTTTGGGGGAAAGCATGTAAAACATTTACAAAACCTATTTTTATTTTACAGAAAAGAGCTGTAAGAATTATCAACAGAAAGCATTACAGTCACCCATCAAGCACATTATTTTATTAACTGAAGTTATTGAAGTTCCATGACTTGGTAGATTATAGTATTTTATTAGTTATGTATAGGGCTCAAAATAACACATTACCATTAAATATCCAAAGAAATTTTGTTAAAAGACAAAGTTGTTACAATCTTAAGGGGATAGAGATATTTGTCAAACTAAAATTCAGAACTAGTCTGAAGGGAAGGTCTACCTCAATCCAAGGAATTGGATTGTGGAATGGTCTAGAGAGTGATGTGAAAAATGCCAAGTCAATGTGTACATTTAAGAAAAAGATCAAAGCTGAATTGTTAAAAAAAGTATATATGAAGTAGCTTAGTGTGTTTTTTTTGTATTAGAATTAGAAAAATTAAAAAGTTATTCATTTTGTTCTGTTACTTGAAAATTATTATGATTGAAATAATTGTTTGAAAAAAGGGGCAGATATAATAAGATATTTCTTCTTTCTGCTGCCTTTCATTTTAAATCTTTTGTATCTTTTTATATTGTTATGGAATTGTTTTGTACTTTTTAAAATGAATAAACATTATACCATACCATACCATACCATTTATACAGGTAAGTCTCACTAAGTCACGAGGACTCATTTACAAGAGAGACTTGTTTCGCATGTTATAGAAGAGGACATTTTATTCTAATGCGTGACATTTTTAGCAACTAACGAGGTATGAATGAAGCAGTAAACCAGAAGTTTACCCTCACTTAACTACTGGACTAACATTATCACACAGAGAGAAATGAGTTAGGACTGAGTCAGTAAAACGTTATCAAAAACATCCAGTGTCCCAAAAAAATTTACATATTTACTGTACAGTGATCAGGCTGTTACCTCAGTTATTGCATTATTTAATTGAGTTAAGCCCTATTCGCATGGGATTCGTTTTACCTAGAAACCACATGTAATAAATAAATTACTCCCCAACATCTGCTTTTTATGTGGCGCCTTCGCACGGGATAACCAAAGCCTGAGATTTAGCTGAAATTTACGGACATCTTCCGGATATGATGTGAAGAGGTAAACAAGTCACGTTAAGCTCAGAAGGACAACTGGCCGCACAGGTCTGCTGACCCGCCGGTTAAAATGGACTTGCGACCTGTCCAGAGTGTACCTCAACTCTTGCACAGTGACGACTGGACATGGGCACCTGCGACCCCCGCTACCCGAAAAGGAAGAAGCCATATATATATATATAGGTAAATATAATGGATGGATAGATAGAAAAACAAATAATCACGTCATTACGTATCGGATTGCACGCATTTCTGTCCAAAATCACAGAGATGCCTATTCGCATTGGATTAGTATTATCACAGGACCTCGGAGTTCAGCAAAATATAGTAGGTAAATTGCAGGGGAATTTTTATTTTACAAATTACTGGCATGGCCGATTTGCATGGGATTAACAACACAGACAATCTCAGTAATTATTACAAATAGCGTGTGGTCCTGCTGGATATTTCTTATCTAGACTGGTCCTATGGTTTTGATCTGCTCAGAGATGGGATTATAATAAAATTATGAACCGGTTCTGACTGGGTTAAACTGGGCCAGCAACTCTAAAAAGAGTCTCCCTGGGATTTCAATATCAGTCAAGGAATAGAGGTTAATCTGCTTGCCACATCACGTAGAAAGGCTTTTTGAAGCACCGTCTCATATTTCCTAACACGTCAGAACCACATAAGATCCATTGAGATCACACTTAGTCACGCCCCCTCATACACTGACAGGTTGAGCTCCCCTTCTGCGAAGGAGCAGTCTAGGAGCCTACAAATGAGTAATGACACGGGACATCGGGGCTTTTCCGGGACCAGAGAGTCCAGCGCTGTAAATTGTAACTTTTTCCTGCCTTGATTTTAATATAATTGATAAAGCTGAATTGATGTTCCCTTGATTTATTGATAATGAGAGTTGCCACTTCTGAGGGAGATTCGAGCAGTGGGAAAAGACATGGGCTGGAGGGGGTTTCCGGGTCCGGTGGCCAGCAGCCAGCTCCCGTCTTTAACAGTCCCTAGGTAAGTCTAATCCCATGCGAATAGGGCTTAAGAGAACGTTGCCATCATAACTAAAATGAACATTATGCAGAAAATTTTTGAAAATCACAAAACTTCAGCTGCGTGTTATATAAAAGACAATAAACTTGTAAATGGTAAATGAACTGTACTTATATAGCAGTATAACAGTAACCTTCTCACACCTTTCGTTGATTGTATTGCCAACATTAAACAGTGGCTTCATCTTAATTTTTTGTTTTTAAACGAAGGAAAGACAGAATGCATTTTCTTTGGTGATGATGCTCCCTGTAACTTTGGTGCTCTGACATCCAAGTTCAGATCCACAGTTAAAAACTTGGGAGTGACATTTGATAAGTACTTAAATTTTGATAAACAAATATCCTCTGTAGTCAAGGCCTGTTTTTATTAGTTACGTCTTTTATCCAAAGTTAAGCCTTTTTTAAATTGTTCTGACTTGGAAAAGGCCATCCATGCTTTTGTAGTGAACTAAGCCTCAGGTCAAAAACCTGACCCTGAGGGCCTTCCTGGAACAGGAACTGTTATTTCATTGATTTGAGTCCAGAAACACAAATTAAGCTCATCCAGAGACTTTCTGAGTGTGTCCTGCACTGGTCAATTGAAAGAACACTCTCTTTTCATTATCATTACTATTTTACAATATCTTGATAATCAAAGTGTGTTTAGTTCAAATCATTTTTAAATGTTGAAGTGAACTACTCATTTTAAATCAACTGTGAAACAGTATAAATGATTTTTAATCCTCATTCAAAGTAGAAATCAAGTTAAAATGCCTGTACAAAGTAATTATGCATTTTGATCTTCTGTCTGAAATTAGAAGGAGTGATGTGGGTCAAAAGTCGGAGACAGTCGCCAACAAGTTTATTGGAACGAACTGTCATGTTCTTAAAACCTCTCAGATATAAACAGAGGAGCTGGCACCTGCTTTCTGTCATTTCGCCATAACATTTCTGTTTGTTCCTAAAACATCTTCGCTGTTTTTCTGACTTGTAGTAACCTCTTACGTCACTAAAACCACACCCCTGTTGGTTCTTTCAACCAATCAGGATTTCCCAAAAACGGGACCGAACTCTTTAAAAAGTCGACACTTCCTAGTTCTAGTCAGTTCAAAGTTCTGAGACATGAACCAAAGTTCTGAGAGCAGAACCGAACGGAAGTTCTGAAGTGCTGGAGTTAGTTGGGAGTTCTTTCGAGTCTCGTGGGGATTATGGAATCTTCCACATCTGAGTGGAACTCTGACGGGCTCACAGCTCATGTGAGTCCACCCGGGAGGTGAGCGTGCTGTTGAACGAAGTACCGTCACTACTCCGGACGGTTCTCTGCTATCCTACGGAGACGCTGAAATGGTAACGCTGAAAGAGAACTCTACACCGAAGCTGAGATATCTTCTGCAAAGGTACAGAGTCGATTTCTACTACCGAAGTGTACCGAGGTAGAGCTGGGTTCGAATGGAGGGTGTCGTTCTTCGTCAACACATTTTCCCTCACACATCTTTTCTCTCCATTTAAACTTCATTTTCCCATCTTTAAAACTCTTCTATCTGCCAGTAATTAATCCAGATATTTTCAGAAATGTCAGTTGTATTTCAGTTGCAAGTAAGAAATCATGGCCGTATGATTTCTCATTGTAAAGCTCATTAATTAAGCTGTGTTAATTTGTAATCATTCTGTCAATTAATGTAAATGTGTGATGTATTTTAAATCGTTTTTAATTAAACGGCTCACTGTTGTTGGTGAGTCAGAAATTTAAACACGTTTCCGTCCACATTTAATCATTCAAGGCACGATAGTACTCAGTCCAGAAAAATGAAAGAATCCGTTTAAATTATGGATAATATCAGACAGGTATCATTCATTACACTTTTATAACTTTAAGGCTCGACTACTACAATTCCCTATATGCAGGAATCTCCCAATCCTCCATTAGACACCTGCAATTGGACCAAAATGCTGCAGCTCGACTTTTAACCAACAACTCCAGACGTGAGCACATCACCCCTGTTTTATTTTCTCTCCACTGGCTTCCAGTCGATTTTAGAATTAAATTTAAAATTTTATTATTCACTTTTAAAGCTCTCAATGGTCTTGCCCCACTATATTTGTCTAATCTTGTAGCTGTCCGTGAATATAGGAGAACACTGAGATCTTCTAATACATTTCTACTCTCTGTGTCACGGTCAGCGGCCCCCGCTGCCCCCCCCCATCTGCCTAAGCCTCTGCCTTCTCCTTCAAGCTGCAACCAGGAACCAACATTAATATCTTCAAACAATCATCCCACAAACTAAATCATTTCCTTCCTTTTCAAGGTGCTTTGATCCCTGCCTCATGTATAGTGGTGTTCTCATTGTGCTTTGTAAATGTGTCACTTTAATTACATTCTGAGTTCTGTTTGACAGGTTCTGTCTCTGTCTGCTCTTTATATTTTTGTTGTTCTGCTCTGTGTGTGATTTTCTGTTTATCTGATTCTGTTATTTTCCACTCACTCCTCAGTCTGCCTCTCCACTCAGTCTTTATCATTCACACCTGTTCCTCATCTGCCACCTGCCCAGGTGCTCTCATTACTCACTCTCCCTCTGTTATATA